AAAACCAGCTGAAATTGGGACTGTGACCTAGTTGGGCCAAGTGATGACATGTTGACCGGGGGGGCAGAATTTTGATTTCTAATTTGGGTGGGGAAAACTTCAGGACTTCAGAATCGGGTTTTCACCAGATGTGTCAATATGATATGCCTAATAAATTTGGACTTTGAGGCGAGCCTTGCCCTCAGCATTTTGATTGCATTGGGTCTGTTATTTGAAACCCTGGCATTATGTTTGATTTAATTGAAATAAAACTGATGATTTACAAATAGAGGTAGTTGTAGGTTGTGATGAAGTAGGCCATCACATGACAAGACCCATTTTAAGACTATTATAGTGGCAATTGTTACGAAAACACCACAATCATTAAGCAAACCCATTGTTTGCTATGAGACTGTTTCTGCTAAAAACTGGAAATAAAGACCAATTTCTGGCAAAAAAAAAGTTTTAAATCACTGACATATGATCACAGGGCACTTTAAACATGATTATGTGAGGGACAAGTCAAAACTTTAAAACCAGATCATAAGTAGCTTTGGGGGGATCTATCATAGATTTGAATGGCTAAATAAATATAATTAATAAATATAATACATTCTATGCTCTATAATACTACTCAGTAACACAGTTATCATTTAAGAATTAGTGATTAGAAAGAAAAATAAACTTTGCCCTTTAATATACAGTAAATCCACCATATTTTCACTTTACAAATCAGAATATGAATTTTGCAGTTTTCTAAAACTATATAGCAAAATCTATATACCAGGAATGATATTTACAAGAATACATCTATAACATTATGGCTAAAAATAAAAAAGCACTATACAACAAAATAAATGATGTATTGAAAGATCTACACAGATACAAAACACATATAAAACAAAATGAATATGAAATATGTACAAATTTTAAATGTATTTCTAAAAATGATGTAAAATGTACGGAAGAAATGAAGAAAGTGACATGTTTTTTACATCTCTAGCCGCACTATTTCTCACTTTCAATCCTTCCTCCATATCATTTCACATGAAAGCAAATCTTTATCAAGATAATATAAAGGATAGGTATACTGAACATTTGGTTACAAAATCACCCCATGGTGCAGCTATAAATGGGCATATTTATTGATCCATAGGAACAATTACTCCTGAAGTATACCTCCTCTATGCCTTTCCATCATCATCTCTCTACAAGCTTTTGGTATGCTTTCCACCATGTTTCCATTGCCACCATACTTTTATTTCTTAATATAAAATGTGGAAGAAATTATTAAATATGTCAGGAAAGAGCTTATTATTTAACTCAACCACTCATCAAAAGGCCACAGATGGAATTCTATAATGTTTTCACTGTCTATAATATAAGAATTAGTACTTCATTCTCAAGAGATGATTGGGAATCTTTTCTTCCATAGACACATTCATATCCAAAGAAAACAATTGTATGGACTTCACACCTTACACTGATCCCACAGCAGTAGTGACCAAAATATACATGTCTTTTTTCTGACCACTGTGAAAATTTTACACACAATATCGAAGTGTTAATTCCTGGAAGCATAATTTTTCTTAAAAAATAAATAAATAACTGCCCATTAAATATGAACTGGTAGGAAAAGTGAGAACATTGAACACAATATTGATCTGTGGACACAAAGCTTCTTGACCTAGTTGAGGCACACAAACTAAAAAACAAATTCAAGAATGCTCAAAAGGGTTTGACCATGCACAGCCTGCCATTGAACCAAGATCTAGATGCACCATGATAGAACACATTTAATACCTAACTATGTTATAAGCTATAATGCTTTTCCATGCTGTATACAATACTTATTGAGATCATTTTCTTTTAAAGATCAGATTTGCACTAAATACTTAGCCCTTGCTTATATGAAATTACTTAGCCTACTGGAGGCCATAAACTCAGTAATTATTTTCAGCTAAGTCTCTCAAAGGTGATTCAAAAAATCTGATAATAGTGTAACTTGTATCTCTTTCAGCTTCTTGAAAATGCTAGCGTTGATGTGAAGCTTAATTTTTCCATAGAAACAGAAAATCTTGAAGGAAGAATCAAGCAGCCACAGGCCTTGTCTCCTTTTGCATTTGCTTGCAGTTACTTTATAAGTGATTGATCTCCTTAACTGTATAAGGAGGATTCAGAGGCACCTTTTTTTCTCTCATTACATAGTATGAGCAACTTTGGAAGTTAGTTTATGCCTTAGGGAAGCACAGCAGAATTGGTAAGCCTTATTGGAATTACTCCACAACTATGGAGAAGGATACATTTTACTGAAATACCATTATGTCTGCATCTTCTTGGAAAGTCTGCACAGTAGCAAAAGGCCAGAAATCTTTATTAAAAAGATGATGTGTCATCCTTGCAAAAGATTCCCTCACTATCCAAGTCAGCACCAAATTTTGCTCCTACACCATCCCAAACGTAGTATAGGATGAGGCCAGGCAGAAAATGGCAATCCATCAGAAAGTAATTGCTGCCTAGCTGACACCACTTGATGTCACCTGATCAGAGAGATAGATGAGAGATTACATTGAGGGATGATGTAAGGACCAAGATATTTAGCTGCCTCAGGTTATATACTAAATCAATTCAGAGGCCCTGAGCCAGAACAGAATGTTGGTTCCAACTTTGGTGTTCAGATATTGCACAATAAAAGCATACAGGTAGGCAACCAGCAAACTTGTAGCAAGGAGAGTCATCCTTAAATACAATGCTTGGCAGGTGGCTAGGCAATTGGAGGTAATTACCTGAAGATGCTCACCTAACATGTAAACCTGTGCTTGCAAGATAGTAGTTACTATCTAAATCAACAAAACTGACCCCATCATTATTGTATCCTCAAGAAGAGCAAGAAAAAATAAGCAAGAAGTAAGAAATGAGATTCATTGTAAAAAAAACAAACCAACCTTTAAATCTCTAATAAGAATTAAGTCCTATTAAATTCAACTAGACTTCCAATAAATGGGCATGTGATTGCACTCAATTTCATAAATTTGGGAGCCTTTGAAGTAAGCAGCCCTGTAATGAAGTCAATTCCTCTAAAAAGAAATAGCTAAAAGAGAGAACAGAGAGGGGAGAGTAAAGCCTACATTTTAAAGAAGGAGAAGAGGGGGGAAAGTATATCCAGCATATGGTCTCTGTCAGCAATACACTTGTGGCTACGCTTTTTTAAAATACAGTATATAGATCATTATTTTTCTCTGGAAAAGCACAATAAATCAAATTATTTGACACTGTAATTCTTGGCAAGTTTTTCAGCAAAATTTCAGTCTGCCCACCATACCACTAAGATAATGTCTGTTACTTTATGTCTTTATTGATGCCATAGAAATGCTGTGACCACACACTTATAAAATAGAAACCTTACATATTTAGAGGATAAAAGACGGTTTTTCCACTTGCAATTTACTATTACCAATATATAAAATCAATGCTTGGATATGGAAAGTAAAAACTGAAGTTAACATTTCTTTAAAATGGACAATATGTCTGTGTATAGTGGATATATATAATACGTCAAAGGAATACTTATAGAATTGATTATGTTATCCATATAAGTAATCAAACAGTATAACAATTACCTCAGAAGTCAAAATCCTCTTCATCATAAACACATACTTTACTGTAGAATCTAAATAGCTGTGAGTGCATTTTGAAATATTCCTCATTTTGTATCACATTAATGGGCTTATAACAAAAAATTAGACTACTGCTAATAAGAATTTTCAGCTAGCATGAACTGTTCTACAGTTTGTCATGAGAGGGATGGTGTCCTATAACGTCAGGATTTAAAGAATATGGCAATCAACTCTTTCCTGCCCTATGATTCTATGGGAGCTTTTCTACTTCAAAGCTTTTCTTGCTGCTTCTTCTCCATTTCCCAAACATATACAACAACAAGGAACTTTTATCATTGTTATCTACATGCTGTGGAATGGAATCATAATCAGTTTAAACTTCGAATGAGAAGTTCTCAAACAGTAGCAATTTAGAGAGAGAGAGATGCTGCATTTTTCCAATGTTAATATTGTATACTGATACATGAGCACAGCTGAAAATGCTTCAGAAATTAGATTTTAAAGATCATGCCAAACATTTTCCTAAAGTTGGAGAGCATGCTAACATGCTTCTGCTAACATGAAGAAAAGATACCACTGTTAAAACAATAAAATATCTGGCTGTACAAAAATCAACTAACTGTGTCAATTAACCAACAGCTACCGTGTTTCCTCGAAAATAAAACAGAGTCTTATTTTCTTTTGACCCCCAAAATAAGCACTTGGCCTTATTTTCAGGGAGGTCTTATTATTTTTGAGGTGCAGGAGGCAGCGAGTGTGGTCACCTCATGGCTGCTGCTGAGTTGCAATATTTTCGGGGAGGACTTATTTTTGGGAGAAGGCTTATTTCAGCACATGTGCTCAAAAGCCCGATTGGGCTTACTATACGGGGAGGTCTTATTTTCAGGGAAACAGGATATTATGTTAAAAGTTAAATCAGAAAACAGCAATATCTATACTTAACAAAGATATTTATTTTTTAAGGCAATCTAATCATAGCCTTATTGGGAAAAACTTGTATATTTTTATCCAAGAAAAAGAACTGTTAAGCTTGCTGCTTTCTTGTTCATTATATTCAAGCATTCAACTTAGCCATGGTTTAGTACAGACAAAATTATTGCACTCTAATTCTGCTGAAAGGAGGAACCATTTTAGATAAGCTGTAAATTGATGTGTTCTCCAAATTCAAAATAACACTTCATGAATCTGGCTTGTTTTCTTTCATCTTACCCAAGATTAACCGCAAGCCATTAAAAAAAAATAAGGTGAATCTGGCAGAGATGAGAATCATTTATAAATAGACACTAATATAATTTAGTATAATAGTCAAACTAATCCACAGTACAATCTCAAAAAGATTGTAGATAAGGAAAGCTGCCCTAAACGATGACTCAAAATGTACCACCCCTTCGGGACATACCATCCTATGCTGAGTTGAGATAACACTGTTCCAGTCTGAGTCTGGTTGGATTGTAGTGACTAGAGCTGGGAGCTCTTCAGAGTGAGGTTTGTTGTGCAATATGGTGTGCAGAGGCAGATGGGAAGTGACAAGTTCTTCATTGTTGTCGTCTTCCTGCTCCTGTGATGCTAAGTCCTGGATTGTTGTTCCCTCTCCATCAGATGCAAATGGAGAGGTGGCCTGCTTGGAAGACATTCTTCTACAAAATAAGCAAAGGAAATACACAGACGCTTTTTATTAAATAGAAAGATAAGATTGTAAACTTAACAAAATGCATTCTGAGGCTGAAAAATATGCAAATTGTAACCTGCTTATCATGGTGAAAAGTGACTGACTAAGAGCTTGTTGAGGCAATGTTATCACAATAAAACATATGTTTTACTGCAAATTTGTTGTTGAGAGAGGTTGAAGTCAGGTTAAGGCATAGAAATAGCTTCTTTCTATCCTATGTAGCACCAGACTTCCCATCTGGAACAAATTAACAATTCATGGAGAAGCCTTTAAAGTTAGCAACCTTTGGGGTTCCAACTGGCCACTTCAGGTCCCTGGACTCTGCACCTCCATGGCCATTTGTGCTGACACCACACGCATGGCCATTTCCTTTTGCAGGTAAGGGAAACAGAAAACTTGGAATTCAGAAATGAGAATGCCGACCTTATATAAATCTTCGTAATGACCCAAAGGTGCTTTTTCAAGAGGCAACTGGACTTTCTGTTTTTTCTTTGAAGATGAAGAATCTTCTTCAGCTCTGACTGGATGATGGGGAAATGGAAGGATTTATCTTGTCCTGATGGGTTTGTTAGAACAAATATAGGAAAACAAATCCATCACGACAAGATTCAGCATTCCATCTTCATTTAAAAGACAAAGGCCATTTTTTGAAGACAGCAAAGTCCACATTTTGGACAGAGAAGACCACTGGTTTGAAAGAGGGGTCAAAGAGGCCATCTATGTCAAAACTGAAAAGCCCTCTCTCAACAGAGGGAGAGGGATACCACATCATCTGTCTCCAGTTTACAACACAGTCCTTTCAGCAATTCCAAGGTGGGTCCAAATCCTTTTGCACTACTCAAGTGACAGATACAGATAAATCTCCAAGTGGCTTCAACGACTCTCTAAAAGAATGCAAATGACCAGCTGTTGCAAGGAATATATATCCTTCCATTCTTCACCATCCAGGACTGAAGAAGCTTCTTGGATGAGAAGTAAAATGTCTTCGAAAGGAAAAAAAAGTCCAGTTGTCTCTTGACAAAGCACCTTTGGGACAACCATGAGCTGGATGACTGAGAATTTCCATAGACAGTCATCATCAGAGTTTTAAAGAAGTCAGGGTTTCTACTTATGCATAGATTAAAGCCTGTAGAGACTTCTGCCAGTCAGCATTAAATAGCACACACAAGATCCTATCATTCACATTGCTATTTAAGATGATTTCCTTCCTAAAGAGAAAATATATGAATCAGCTACTGAACATAGTCAGACAGATGTTTGCTGCAACTGTAGTAAGCTATTCCAGCCAATTTTCTGAATGCTTACTTTCATTATGGTACTTTTCTTCAAGGGTCTGAAAATCACTTTTTTTAAAAGTTCTATCCATCAGAATATCAACAGTGGTTTCCAGCTCCTGGAAGAAGAGAGAAAGCAATCCCAACAGATTTCCAAATTTGATTAAGACAGCTACAAAAATTCTTGCCATTGGTTTTATGCTGATTTTGGAAAAATAAAATATTTGTGAGTTTTGCTCTTCAAATGATGGCTCAATCATCATAGTAAACTCTGTTCATTAAAACTTCTTTTTTCTAAGGAAAATATTTCCCAACCTGCCCCCAATCCAGAGGGTAGGGCCATTATAGTGTGATTCTGTTAACAAAGTCCTGGAATATTAATGCAGAAAAGTGATATAATGCTATATAATAGCATTATTATGAATAATGTATAGCTTGAGTGCTGTGTCACAGTTATACAGGGTATCAATTTGTTACTATTATATATTTCATATAACATACAATTTGGAATACAATTAAATAAAAAGAAATATTAAAAATATTTCTATAATATCTGTTAATATCTTCACTATATATTTAACTTTTTGGTCATAACCTTTAAATTTTTCCACCAGAATAGAATCAATTTAATGCTAATAAAATTTATTAGCATTTACTGAAAAATTATTTCAGTAAAAATTAAAATGTTGTATAGATTCTAAATTTTCTAAAATCTCAAGATATATTATTTTTTCTAAAACTGTTTCAACAACTCTAGAATGAGGTCTCCACCTTAATTACTCTTTAATAATAATTGATTTCATACAATTTCCTTTAAAATGCGCAAATCAGTTAACAAGGGAAACCACATGAGCATTTTCCAAATTAGCAAATCATTAACTCAGTAGTACTGTTTCTATAGACAAATAATTACTGATTAAGGAGCCTGGAAATCTGAGAGTAACAGTTACATTTACAAATCTGACACATGCTTTCATGAATATTACAGTGAAAGAAATATCAAGTGTAAAAAATAATAATAATTAAGTTAATTCCAATTTAAACAGTAGGTTTTAATGTAGCAGACCAACTTTCACATAGGATTTAACAGCTACTATTAAATTTCTCACTATTAATGAGAAGACTCGGATTTAGTATCTTACATGAAAAAATAATAATAAAGAATCATGTAATATTATTTATTTTTAAATGAAAGTATTATAGATTTCCTTAATAAGTTTTATAAATATATAAAAATATCAATGTAGAGCAAAAGAAAAAAAACCTTAAAAATTATTATAATGATGTTTAGGTTGATATCTCTGCCATGAGAATTAGTTACATAGAAGTATCATCTAAGATGCTACAACATTAAAAGTGACACTATATAAACAACTAAGAAACTGATTCCTGAATATTCTGCACATATCAAAACCAAAAAACAACTGTTGTCAAGGAAGAGCATGATCTAATTGTAATACACGTATTGCATACAGATAAGTCATAACAAATATTTAGAATCAGGGTGCAAGACATAATACTTTATTTCAAAGACAATAAACAGACTATACCCATGCCTTATTCGGCACATTAAAATTGTGAATATATCATCACAGATTTAACACAAAGGTGCCTTTAAAACAGTTCTTTGGAATATGATTCTATTCACTTGAGTCTTTGCAGGCATCTTCCAATTACAAATAGGACCAACATCTTCCAGAAGGAATACATTTTGGCTGCATTTTTCAGTTTAAATTAATCATGACACAAACCCAGAAATGAAAATGTCTCATAAGAATAATTCCAACTACAAACTGCACCAATGAATAACAGTGCACAAACCTAATTATATGCAACTGTGCAGCTGCAAAAATAGGTTAAATCTGTCTAAAGCTCTGAGATGATTTTTAAAGGCTGGTTTGTTAGACAGTGTTTTCTTAAGAAAGGCCGGGCCCTCAGTCCTAATCAGCCAATAAATTATTTCCTGCAATTATATTAAATAGAAAATTATCTTCAAATTGGGAATGTTAATTGAAAATCAAAATTCAGAGTGAAGTTTAGAAATTACATGCTGAATATAATTAGCCTGGAAAGACTTCACCTGTTTCATAAACAGGCTTCGGGTAATTCCTCAAGTGACCATTCCAGGGGATGGGGAAAACGTTATTCTCTCAAAACAACCAATATAGCAGATATATCCAACATCCATCCATCTTTCTTTCCTTCCTTCTGCCATTTTTTAACTTGTTCATAAACAGAATACCCAATGTTCATATCACTGGAGAAGTGTTAAAGACAACATAAATATGGTTTATAGACTGTGAAATTTGCTTTAACAAGAAAAAAAATAATTTTTTTGCAGCTGAGCTTGCTATTACCCAGGTATGTTTATAGAGTATAAGTGCTGTACATTCATACCCTTTCTATTTGAAAACTTGCGAGCAAAGAAGCACTAGATCCTGAACTATTTTAGTTTCTTTATTCATAACCTTCAACCTCAATTCAAACCTTTTTGCTCCAACCAGCAAAAACTGCCCCATTCCCCAAAAGGGAATCAGGTTATTTGAAGGACTGTGTTCTCCCAATCTCCCAGTCACATCTATTTAACCTATCAGAGCAGAGAGGCAAGCAATGCTATGGATCCTTTCTCCTTGGGAGGTTAGACCAAGAAGAAGGGCCTTGGCCAGCAGGGTGCTACAGGAAGCAGCCATCCCATCTCCTTCTGCTGCCCCCCTTGGCCTCCCTGTTGGATTTGGATTGGAACTACAATGCTGATCTGGACCTTGAAGAAATCCAGTTTGACACCCCTGTTCTAGAGGCAAGCCATTCTATTGTTCTCACTGTCAGGAAATTTCTCCTTAGTTCCAGGTTGGACATGAGGAATTGAGGAATGCATAAAAAAAACCCACCAATTGACACTATTCCACTTGCTGCACTCTCAGCAGAAACTTTTCTCCTCCTCCATATCTCAAAGGCAACTGGACTATGTTTTTTCCTTGAGGAAGAAGATGTTTGCTTCTTAACCAAGAAGCATCATCAGTTCTTACTGATGAATCTTCTTGGATGAGAAATGCCTTTTGAAAAAGCATTTTTGAGACAACCATGACCAGAATGACTGAAAATCTCTACAAACACTCCTTCATGATGTTTAAGAAAAACACAGAAACGGAACATAAGAGACTGCGAAGAGATTCACAGTACTCTATAGAGATGATTTATGCTACTTGTTTAGCTAAGCACAGCCACGAAAGCACAATCCTAAATACACTCATTTGGAACTAAGTCCTACTGAGCGCAGTGGGGCTTACCTCCAGGGTGTATGTTGGAGGGCAGTCTGCACTGCAATTACAAAAGAGGGGTATCCTCGGAGGAATGGGATTATGTAATAATTATGTTTTGTGCCATATTGAAAATCACACCCTAGCCTATTTATTCCCATAATATATGTATTCCCTTTGCCATTTGATGGCTGCAATGTATAAAGTAATAAAACACTACAGAAAAGATTTACAGAAATTCCATTTTTAAGTATGATTAGGAAAGGACTACAATTGGTAGAACATGTTAAAAAGCATGAATACACTTTAACAATCAACATGTTCCCATGAGATTTCATGACATTCTAAGACGTATTTCAGTTTTATTTATTTTTTTAACCAATCACTCATGTTCTAAGATTACTTTGACTTTATGCTACTGCTTGGTTTACCTACTA